ACTACGGCCGAGTATGACAAAGATATTCCATTTGATAAGCTCAATCTCTCAACTACTACATTAGATCTTTTTACGGTAACCACTAATGAAGTTGAAAAATGCTTAAAAGCGATTGACGTTAGTAAAGTCACCAGCCAAGGCATAAGTTCAAAAATTTTAAAAGAAGCGGGGCCAGTTATTGTTGAAGACTTAAAACACATTTGTAATTATTCTCTTTCGTTAGGAGTTTTTCCGGAAAAATGGAAAATTGGATTGATACATCCACTATTTAAAGATGGAGATACAACTTTACCGACAAATTACAGACCTATTACACTTCTTCCCTCTATGTCTAAAATTGTGGAAAGATTGGTTTATAATAAGCTATATGGACAACTAAAAAAGCAGGATCTCCTAACACCCTTACAATTAGGTTTTATTCAGGGTGATTCTGCGACAAATCAGTTGGTTGATTTGGCATGAAATAGGAGAAAATTTAGATTCGGATAAATTTACAACAGCTGTATTTCTTGATTTTGCAAAGGCGTTTGATAAAGTTTGGCATAAAGGACTTTTATACCAGTTAAAACATAAAGGCGTGCGTCCCGAACTTTTAAAATGGTTTCAGAGTTGTTTAACTGCTCGAAAATGCACTACACTTGTAAATGGACAATTTTCTCCACCTCTTGTTATAAACCGTGGTGTCCCTCAAGGCTCGATTTTAGGACCACTTTTGTTTTTAATATTCATCGACGATATTTGTGATAATAAACAGTCGAAACTTCGTTTATCTGCGGTCGATGTATCATAGTTCGGACCATATTTTAATAAGTGAAAATATTTTAAATCAAGATTTAAAAGACGTTTTAGAGTGGACTGAATTTTGGCAGTTACCCTTGAATTTACAAAGGTGTGTGGCTATGTTTTTCGGCAAAGTTTCTGCACGTCCTCAGCTGTTATTGAATGGAAATGGCATAAACATCTAGGCTTGCATTTAACATCAAAGCTAGACTGGTCTTTGCATGTATACGAGGTTGCAAAAAAATGTAAATATACATTATACTTAATGTGCTGTTTCAAAAATACTTTGAGTACGACCACACTCGATCAGATCTACAAATCGTATATTTTGCCAGTGTTAAGTTATGCAGATGTAATCTATGCATGTGCGAGAGAGATTCAGACTGCATATGCATTCCTTTGCCCGCTGTATTAGCTTATTTAAAACCAATTGCAAGACTACAGTACGATGCTGCACTGACTGTTAGTGGTGCTATGCGTCTCAGCTCGCGAGATAAAGTCTTCAACATACTAGGATGGCTATCACTTGAACATCTATTCGCGACGCACAAAATTTTATTATTATTTAAAATATTCAGAGGCCTAACTCCACTTTTTCTAGTTGATAGAATACCAAGATCTGTAGCAACAACAACTATGACTTTGCGATCTGCTTGTAACAAACGCATGAACACATACCGCACCAATAAAGTTAAGCTCGAAACTACATTTTTTCCATGGACAATTAAGCAGTGGAATGCCTTACCTACTACTATCACTACAATTTCCGCTTTAAAAAAATTCTGTTCTCTCATAAACGATTATTTTTTTCCTTACTATAAATGGCCGAGATTCAAAAACATTGAAAGAACATATGACATGATTCTCAATCAATTGCGCGTCAATTTTTCTCACGTGAATGATGATCTGTATAAAAAAAACTTAGTTAGTAGCTCTCAGTGTGCTTGTGGGATGGCTGAAACAGTACAGCATTTCTTCTTGGAGTGTTAATATTACCAGCAGATACGAACTATCTTTGAAAACGACTTGAATGCTCTAGTAGACGATACCTTTATACTCGAACACATACTCTCTTTAAAACCTGCACCATCTTTAAATGTTACAGAAATGAATGAACTTTATGATATCGTAACTACATTTATTCGCGACACACAAAGATTCTAATTTCACGATATCTTGTTCTCCCCTTTGTCCATCAGTTATTCTCTGTTTTCTATTGTCTTGTTTTTTTATTATTATTATTCTTGTTGTTGTCATTACTTTCTCTCTTTTATGTTGTCGCCGTGATCGTTTCTATGCATGTATTCTAGTGCTGTCCTCTGTCCTCAGTCAATTTATGTAAAGATGTAATGGGTTCGCCCCCATCTTCTCATAATTTGTACTGATATTTTTCCACATTTCTTCTAAATAAATAAAGTTTATATCAAATAACAATATATATTCAATCGTTTCACAACTTTCTACCAATATCATGCCCGACTAGATTCATAATATTACTTATTTCAATTGATTACGAAAGTAAAGTCACCGGCACCTATCTATTTTCTGTGTCATTTTTATTTCTTGAAGAGGAAGTCAACCGATTTGCCTCAGATTCTAGCAATTTATCGAGAGCACTTGATTGTATATTCCTGCAACTTTTTCGGTAGTCAGTTGAATTCTTATGGAGAAAAGAAATCAAGTATTTTTGGAATTTAATTAATTTTTTTAAGGGAGTGCTTATTTTCAAAAAACATGTGTTCGTTCCGTTTCCACTGTAAATATCCAAATTCTTGCTCAGCTCTACAGAGTATCGTTTGAAGATTTAAATATACCTCATGGAATTTCATGCTGAAATTTTAGCACTGTTATAATTCAGTGCTAATTAGCAGTTACGGCTTGTCCACGTAACTCGAGACTCCGGTGATCAAGTTTTTGAAAAAATTATTTTAGAATAGAACTGAGAGGAGCATATCACTAGATGCAGTTTTTGACACTGATTACGAATCTCACATTAGTTTTTGAAAAAAGTTAAATTTTGGCACTAACAATCCAGTTTACATTTTTGAAAACTGTATTTTCAATTTCTTCACCTAGACACTTTTCCTAATAAAAATGGAAGGCCATACTAATCGATAGTAAATTCGATTCTCTACAAGATGGTATGTTTCTTTTGAAGTTTAGAATCAAAATAACCTTTTTAATAAAGTCCTAAAGCTAAGTCTGATGTGAAAATTATGCCTAAAGCTAAGTCTGGTGTGAAAATGAAACCCTTTGAGCAATGTTTAGTGCTCCAAACTTTGTTGGGAAAAACGAGTGTCACAGCGTCACGACGATAAAACACAATTATTGAGGGATGGAAAGCTCTTTGGAAAGATTCTTTTTTAGCAATCGGTAGCTCATTTACTCCTCTACAAACTTTGCTCGAGGCACTTTTATTAGCTTTTCTAAATTCGCAGCAAATTAGCTTTTAATGAGAAGCATTTCGAATTTAGGGCCTTTTTTGTCACAGCGTCACGTGCCGAAAAACGGTTCTAAAAGTTCGAGTCTTTAACCACAGGCCCTCATTTTTATACCAAAGGTAGAGTATGGCGAGCTGCGTTGAATGGCGCAAGAACAAAGGTTCTAGCTCTTACACTTTTTGAGAAAAGCTCAAACTACTGTGTCAAAAATGTCACAGCGTCACGCTTGGACAAGCCGTATACTGCTCACGAGGGAACATATGTAAGTGTCCCCTCGCTTTTTCAACGAAACCTAGTGGGTTATAGGTTATCGATGATGCTTATTCTGAATATGAATATGAGAGCTGCCCTTAGGGCTTCGGAGATCCGGCTTTCTGGAAAACCAGTTTTTCAGAAACTCTAAAAAGTAACCAAAACTTTTTCTTAGTGAAACATAATTGTAGCCCGCACATTTCTGATTAAAATGAGACCTCTTTCAACTCTACATGACCTTTCTTTGCAAAGTTATAGAATTTACAAGAAAAGCCCTAAATATTCATTGTCAACGCGAAGCTAGAGAAATAAGAGGAAATTAATTTAGGGCTCTTCGTGTAAATTCCATAACTTTGAAAAGAAAGGTCATGTAGAGTTGAAAGAGGTCTCATTTTAATCAGAAATGTACGGGCTACACGCATGGCTTATTAAGAAAAGCTGTGGGTGTTTTTCAGAGTTTCTGGAAACTGGTTTCCCAGAAAGCCGGATCTCCGAAGCCCTAAGGGCAGCTCTCATATTCATATTCGGAATAAGCATCATCAATAACCTATAACCCACTAGGTTTCGTTGAAAAAGCGAGGAGACACTTACATATGTTCCCTCGTCAGTTGCAATCGTGTTTATTAATTAACGGCCGCAAAGAAAAAATCGAGAAATATACCATGCGATGGAGCTTTTCATGAGGTAAAGAATGATGTATCTGAATATTTCTGAAAATTATGCAAACAAGACTTGTTTTGTTAAAAAGGTGGCATTTCCTGTATCCATTGTGTTCATCGAATTACAGTATTCCTGAATATCGGTTATTCCTAATTCGCTTAATGTTATTGAAAAATCGATTTCTTCTATGTCGTCCAACGGCACTTTCTTTATATAAGCTTCAAAATAAGTCGGATTATTCGCCAAAAAATTTTCTTTTATTTCTAATAACTGCTTTTGAATCAGTGAATTACACCCTTTATGTACATCAATCATATTACTATTTGTAATTGATCGATTTAATTTGGTTGCAGACAGTACGGGTGATGGCGTTAATAAAAGTTTTTACATAATATTTTCATATTTTCAGATATTGAGTGTTTCTCAACAGTATTTATTGTTATTGTTGGATGATATTGTGACGTTACTGTTGAACTTGCTTCAGTTGATGGTATGGTACTTGATTTACTATGCAGTGGTGAATGAACAGCTTCACCTAAAGTAAAAAGTAAAGAAAAAGATTTAACGAAACCTACAATGTGGAAATTTGATGTGTCATCATTATTATTAATTGTATTTTCCGTTGTTGATGATAATACATTTGTTACGTTTCTCAGCTGTTTTGAGCGCGATGTTAAAGCTAAAATAAACAACAATAAGCGATACTCTTGTTGAAAAATCAAAGTTTTTCTCTTGAATGAACCTGTTTCACTTGAATCTTCAACATTAAATCCGTCGATGAGTGCATCACTTTCTAAATCAGCACTTATTATAGACGTTGTTGCTGTAGGTCTTAAAATGCCATCAGATCCAAGAAAACGTGCTTTTTTAATAGGTGTACCAATTAACTCGCTAAGTATGTCATCATCACGAAATTGTGTATATAAACGTCTTTTGACGGGTTTTGTGTTTGTTGATCCAATATCTTCTCTCGTTGATTCATGAGCTGGAAATAAAAGGTGAAAAAGAGTTAGAGGGCCATTCTTCGGAACATTACGTCAATAAATTTCTCTATAGCATTTTGGTTTGATATCTGTCTGGACATATTTTTCCTTCAAAAAAATAAACAGTCATTTGGTCTACTGACTTAAACAGTGCTGAGTGGGCTCAGCTGATCCTAAAAAATATTCTAGCTACGCTGTCAGTTTGCGAGTGGTATCAACTTCTACAGTTCTGGGGAAATTTCAGAACTCAGCAGAATTCAAAGCATCACTACTCACTCTCATGCCCTCCCCCCCATCCCCACTATCACATTCTCTCTGCGAATTGACAGATTCTGGTGCAATTCTGTTGTAATTCTGCCATATTCTAGTCCAGTCCTGGTTAGATTCTGGTAGAACTAGAATTGGAATTCTACCAGAATTCAATCAGATTCTGAACAGAATCTTATTAACAGTTTATATTTGAATGTGGCGAATTCTACCAGTTCTAGGAATTTCCATAGAATTGTAGTACTTGACACTGCTGCAGTTTGCTCGTAATTTACCGTCAGTTTTTCTGTAATCAGGATGTGACAGATTCATTGCATTTTGTGTTAATACTGTTGGACTAACTGAACAATAGAAAAAAAACTACATAGAAATATAGAAAATGATATGACATGCAAGTGTATATAGAACACTGCTTTATTCGAAAAAACTAAGAAAACTTTCTGTGCCCCGCCAACAATCGAAACTTGGCTAGAAGAAGTATGAGTTTGTCCGTTACTAGGCTATCTTAGCGAAAGATTAGTCGATTGATATCTCGCTAGCAAGAAAGAATTAAAAGTTGGCTAACCCTTTCGAAGTCGAACTTCTGTTTGAAATGCTTTTATTAAGACTCGATATGCAATCATAGAACCTGTCTCACCTGTATGCTGAACTCTTCGTACAATATCATCCAATAAATTTTCAGCAGCATTTACTGTATCAGCTAATATATTTCTTTCTTCTTCAGCATTTTGTAGCCCTAATGATAAAAGAGAAGAACAAGAAAAGTTGTATGAAAATCGTCTTGTTTCAAAGTAGCAGCTAAGTGTTTGAACGAACCTCTTTTTTGATAATACGTTATATCTAGTATTTTCATTATCATTCAACAGTTCATCGGTTGTTAACATAGGTGCATTGAGATTATTATATGCATTTTGTGTTATTGCATTATAAGAAGCGAGTTGAAATGACAAAGCAGCACCACCTGAAACTACGAGCAAAGACATTTTTTTATTAAGATGACTTTGTATTCGAACCTACAAATCACACTCATTTTCGACCTGTTAACGTTGAGTCGCTGTCCAAAAAGGCAAAATCGGTTTATCTCCAGCTCAAGGCTGATTATAACTAGTAACGTACAGAATTCCTTTTTTCACACATTTGGAGACATATGTGTCATATATTTTTCACTTTCACGCTGAGTTACTGAAAGGGTGGTAAAACAAGGTGGTTGTGAAAAACAGGGTGGAATCTTTCGGGAGATGTTTTACCTATTTGCTGAATTTTATATGTCAGAAGAACCTTTTAACCTGAGTTACCATTTTTCTTTAAAGGGTCTCAAACTTCAAAGCTACCACCGAGTCAAAGTCGTTAAATGGCTATATGTATCAGCAACCAACAGATCAAGTCATTTGCTGATGATTGCCGTCATTAGCTATGATTCATGAGAGGACCTTACTTTTGTGAAGTCAGCGAAAAAGTCAGAAGGTTTTTCTTTAAAGATAATTAATAAGCCGGTTATCTCAGTACTACTGGTTTTTAATCGAAGTCACTACAAATTTTCCCATCGATTAACTTAAATGTCGGCTGATTCGACTCGTGTTCAAAAAAATGCAGAAAACATACTTTCTTCTTGTTTCATTCTACTTAATTTTTCCTTTAACAATGATAGATGTCGTTCTTGTTTCAAAATTTCTTGTATACCCATATCAGTTAATGACAAGTTAGTCGGGTAACAATTATTTTCTTCATATTCTTTTACATATTTTTCTAATGTGATACCAAAATCAGTCACTAATATTTTCTCAAATTCTTGAACTTGTTTCTCATCATCCGATTGTGGCAGTTTTCTCATCCAGCAGTCAACAGGTCTCATGGATGATTTTAAATATTTTCCACTTGATAATAGCTGTTTTTCAACTAAATTTGATAATAGTTGTTTAACATCAATATTATTTCTATTATAGTTGTAAAATGCACAACCATGTCCCGTTAATGATATAAATGCGAAAATATTCAATGGTAAATTTAGTATTTTTTGTTGATTATTATTTCTTTCTATCATTTCTTGATATTCATCTGGTTCACAATCGAACAGTTGTAACGCTTGTGGCAATAGAAGATCATCATAAAAATTAACGGCCGTTTTAGCTGCATCTAATGTGATTTTCATTGAATTTTTAGGTGGTTTTGGAATTGATGTTATTCTTACAACTTCTAATTCTTGTAAATCTGTATCTTTTGGATAAGTTAGAATCTCATCGTTAATTGATCCAACGTCGTCATTTTTATAAAATAATGTATCGATCTTTTGTTGTATTTTCATTCTTGTGACTTTTGTTATTAGGTTGGGGAAAAATATGTAAAAGAATATGAAGAAAATAATT